AGACGTTTAAATGTGCCCAGTTTTTATAAGCCCTTTTTTTTCTATAGGCTGCACATTGTCTAATCGTTTTATTCTTTTATCAATATTGTCAATTACATTTGCAAACCTTTCGGTGGATCAAAATGATTTTTAAAGGATCAGTTGTGGTGAAAACAAAAATGTTTGTGTGGCCAATTTATAATTTCAACCAATACGTCTTAAGAGATGTGAAATGTATGGTTTGAAGTTAAAATAAATGCGTGTGTAATTAGGCCTAATTAATTAGAAAGCATTGGAAGTTTCTCAACTCTAAAAGGGCATCGAAATGAACCAATCAGAGAGTGTTTAGGAGGAGCGTGCTGGAGCGCGAGACAGTCAAAAACTGATGTCTGCACGCGCTCCGGGCATAACGTTGCGTCACGGGTATAGAGATGAAAACACGCAGTTATAGAATAACAAAATATCTACAACTGTCTTAAAGAATTAGACAATATTACACACGGTCAGGCAAATAGTTTGGTAGCCTATAAGTAAAAGTTAATTATAATTTTAGACTAGTGTAAGAGAGGGGAAAAGAAAAACACGCTTAAACTTATACTATTTCATAATATATTTAGCTCGTAACATAGGCTACTTGAGACCTAAAGTTTTTCTCAATGGATAAGTCGAGGAACTTTCGAATAGACGCTCTGTTGTCAGAGAGCTCTCAGCGGATGGTTCGCGAGGATTCGCCGGGACTGTGCACCGACGGCACCGACATCGAGCCTGCGACCTGCAAACGGACAGAAAACTCTCCTCCTCGCGCTTTTCAGATCCAGACAGGGGTCATACCCAAACCAGGCATGCTGAACATTTCTCACCCAGGATTAACGTCACTTTCCCAAGGGTCTATGCCAGGAATGTATCCCTCACCTATGTACTCCATCACGGCACTTGGAGCGCAGCATCCCACCTTCGCGTATTCAGGTTTCGCGCATCCGTACCATGAGCATCTAAAAGCGGCGGCCGTGGCCGGTTCATTTCCGTTAGAGCACTGGCTCCGGGCTGGACTCATAATGCCTCGCCTCGCAGACTACAGCGGTATGTGTTCCTTCTGCAGAAATATTCATCTATGCATTTTAATATTTGTTTCTATTTATATGTGTATACTTTAAAGCAAACAAAGTCTAAATGATGTTACTAAGTGTGTAATCTTGACGCAGAAATCTGGAAAACAGGTCTACATTTTATTTACACATTTTTACCTCAAGCGTATTTCAATGAAGCTGCAGCAATGATTATTATTATTTAATAAAGTTGCAAATATGCAAAACATGTCAAACTTAATCTATCCTAAAATAGGGAAAATTATGGCAAAAAATCATTACATAAATATGTATAATATTCACGTATCTTTCTGCAAGAACACTATAAAGTGAACTCATGCTATAAATATTATCTAGCATAATTGAAGCAGTATTTATTGCTAACGGAACTATAATGTAAGGTTTTTTATTTTCAGTCTTTTCATAGCATCATAAATGACAACTCCATTAAAACTGCCTTCATCCACATGAAAACTATAAAGAAACACTTAAAACGGTCTGAGCTTCATCAATAAAGTTATCTGGTAGCATTTATTGAATTTTCATTAAGTTAATGGTGCTCTCTGGTGTTTTATTGTCCCGCTAAAGCAATATCTCCCGGCCCTGTCATCAACAATAAACTGAAGTAAAGCTGTTATCATTATCTATTAGGGGGGAGGAACAAGAGGTGAATATGTTCTTGTTTGCTGCGTCTGCTTGGTGTCTTCACCGTATGTCTTTGTTTTTTGGCACAAGTCTTACACCTCCTTTATCAACTAACTTTCTTCTCAGGGGCACCTCAGTCTGGTTTAATTGGAAAGTGCCGGAGACCACGCACAGCCTTCACCAGCCAGCAACTGTTAGAGCTGGAAAATCAGTTCAAACTCAACAAGTACCTATCACGACCCAAACGCTATGAAGTGGCCACTTCTCTCATGCTGACTGAGACACAGGTGAGGAGAAAGCAACACATGACAATTCAAAATTTTTGCAGCAATGCTGTAGAATGTCCATTTTTGGTTCCCCAAAGAACCTTTCAGTTGACAGTTCTTAAAAGAACCAGTTTTACTCAGTGTGAAGAACATTTTGAATAACCTATAAGAACTTTTTGTGCAATGAAAATATTCCATGAATGTTAAAGGTTCATCATGGAACCTTAGAGGCCAATGAAGAACCTTTATTTTTAAGAGTATTGGATATTTTGACAAATTGGTGGATGTATGAATTTGTACATATAATCTGCTTACGTCCCAGTGATGGTGAAGTTTGGGGTGGACCTTAATGCTTACTTTTTTCTAATCGCATCGTACAAATTTATCGCCACCTCGAAGTTATGTTTTCTCATGAAATCGGGTTGGGAGAAAGAAGAGATGATGGAGAAAGACATACTGAGAACAAAGGGACAGCAAAATTATTTTCATCATCAATTCAATAATAAGCTCATGAATATTTCCAAATGCTAATACCAATGGATCAAACTTTACGTGACTGATTGTGATGATTGTTATGTATTTACCAGGTTAAGATTTGGTTCCAGAACCGACGAATGAAGTGGAAACGCAGCCGTAAAGCTAAAGAGCAGGGTGCGCAGCTGGAAACAGACGGCTGTAAGTCAGGCAAGAGAGCAACCAAGCCCAAAGACCTCACTCGCTGCAGTGCACGCGATGACGATGAGGATCTGGATGCCGAGGAGGAAGATGAAGAAGAAGAAGAAGAAGAAGAGTTCAGAAAATCGATTAACGCAGGTGTGGGTCTGCCTCACCCCTCGGACTTCCTGCAGCACAGCTCCGCGCTGAGCTACAGCTCTCATGGCTCTTACTCTGATGACGATCTGGAAGAGATTGGAGGAGACCGAAAGATCAGGCTCGGGTTATGAAGAACTAATGGCAGCTGCAGTCTGCATGTCCATGAACTGGACAGGTTTAAAGACTGAAAGCTGTTGATGTCAAAACTATCGCTTAGACCCGATGAGTTCATTGTCCATGACGTTTATAGACAAAAAAATTCTTAATTCATGAAAATGGTCTTCCAGTTTATTTGCACTTAATATTTTTCTTGAAGGCTGCTTGTAAACTGCAAATGTATACTATTTCAAACTAACATTTTTCTTATGCGATCAAAATCTTTACTTTATATGCTAACATGGACATTTTGGTTGAAAAAAAGCTGTTGAACCAAATGAGGAAGCCTTGCATTGAACGTCACAGGCTGACACTTGTGCTTATTGGTCTCTTGAACACATTTAATTTAATAGTTGATGCTGAAGAACAGATAATTGTCCAGAGGTCATCAATGTCAGCTTTCTTCCAGTAACTATTGACTGGAACACTGAGGAACTGGTAAATCCTCTGCAAATATTGAACAAGGGCAAACTGTGAACGGTGCATTAGTTAGTCCATTAGTTTATGTCATGTTGTTGATGTTGGTGTCTTTAATGTTATTTAACTGTTATAGATTATATCTAATTTATTCATCTGGTATCAGGACTCAGTTTGAAGTATGTGTGACCTTCAAAAATTGCTGGTAAAATATGTACTTGGAGACAAAAGGGAAATAAACAAAATCGAAGTTGAGTTTCAGCCTTTCTCTCACTTGAACCCTTTAAAATGTAGAAATGCTGTTTTTATGTGTCCAGCTCGTGAGTGAAAGGTTTAAAACTGTAAATGAATATCACCCCCATCCTACATATTCATCGTCCCACTCGCCTCTCCTTTTTAACCTCTAGCTGACACAGATGGTGATTGAAGCGCAGACGAATCTACAGTGCATTATAAACAACGTAGGCCCTGATATTTATGGCCAAAGCCTCTCAAATATGAATTACTCAGGGGGGTTTACTGATAGGCAAATAATTAAGTTAATGAAGGAAAAGCAAAATAATCTACTCCTTATGCTGATGTCACCGGGCCATTTAATTTGAAAAGCTGAAAATACTGGGTGTTTCAGGTCTGACGACACCCAGTATTTAGTCTATGCCTCTTCCATCCATTCCTCCTGTTCACTTCCTGATCCATCGTCACTTCCTACCATCTCAGCTCCAGTCACAGTTCAGTGCTGCCAACCGCCGAGTCCTCCTCAGACAATGTTGCCAGAAAATAAAAGCTTTGAGTAAAACACTTAAGTTTTGCGTATAACCACAACTGAGCTCATTCTACTTAAAAACAGTGCAGCGCACCACTTCCTGGTATTCAAAAGTAGGCCCACCTGCATCTTGATCTCACCTGACTGCTAAAGGTATTGTTGAAGTCCTTGAGCAAAAAAAAAGTCCCTCGGCTGTTTCCGTCGGCGTTGTCATGGAGCTCGAATACACAACTGAACTGTGAGGAAAACTTTCAGCATGGCGAAACAAATAAACTGACACATTTTCCTTCCTTTCCATGATTCTTCGACTACTTTCCTCATTATCACTATCCGTATTATGTTGATGTACTTTCTTCCTTTTCCTATTTACTAGGTTCCACTCCATTTCAGTCCTACCTCCCTCACCAGCTTCTGCCATCCGGCATAGACTAAATACTGGGTGTTTCAGGTCTGACGACACCCAGTATTTAGTCTATGCCTCTTCCATCCATTCCTCCTGTTCACTTCCTGATCCATCGTCACTTCCTACCATCTCAGCTCCAGTCACAGTTCAGTGCTGCCAACCGCCGAGTCCTCCTCAGACAATGTTGCCAGAAAATAAAAGCTTTGAGTAAAACACTTAAGTTTTGCGTATAACCACAACTGAGCTCATTCTACTTAAAAACAGTGCAGCGCACCACTTCCTGGTATTCAAAAGTAGGCCCACCTGCATCTTGATCTCACCTGACTGCTAAAGGTATTGTTGAAGTCCTTGAGCAAAAAAAAAGTCCCTCGGCTGTTTCCGTCGGCGTTGTCATGGAGCTCGAATACACAACTGAACTGTGAGGAAAACTTTCAGCATGGCGAAACAAATAAACTGACACATTTCTATTCGGTTTTCTTGTTTGCTTGTGATATTACTGCATGAGATAAAGATAAAGTGGTAAGTTATAATTTTCAGTAGGATACATAACATAAATACAACGCAAATTTTGCTCGTTTTGGTAACGTTAGGTGTAACGTTAAGCGCGTACCTGTAATACTTGATATTAGCTGTTGTAATGTTTAGCAAACGGATTTATGATTGATTTGAACAGAATTACAGCTTCTTTTAACGCCATATCAACTTTTTAAAACACAAGTAGTCAGTAATTTTAGACATAAAACAGAAAATACCTTTGCATAGTCTCCAGAAAACCCACCGTATCACTTTGTCAATAACATTTCATTTGATGATCCTCGGAGGCAATCACCTTTGCTGTCAGTGATTTCCTTAAGGCAAATCACTTAAGCTAATAGAGAGGTAAAGAAATTAGGAGATAGGGTCATACATTTACACCAGCCACAGTTAACCTCAGACAGACATAACAGATCCTGCTTATACAATAAATTGAGAGAAGAACAAATAAATGTAAATGTACCACTTTAGCATGCAGCTGTATAAAGTAATACAGATATTGCCTAATGCCGTATATGTTCATATTATCGGTCAGATGAAATTTAGGTTAATTTCTGATATAGGCCCAGATCATTCAAGCACTAACGTTACATGCACATCTGTTTTATATAATTTGATATAAAAGCTGTATGAAATATTTGAAGCCCACAAAGGCAGCAATATTTGAACTCCTGTGGTTTGGGTGTTTGTTTTTTAGGTGCAATGTTGACTGATCATCCAGTGAATCCTCTGAGCTCAGGCATTCCCTTTGGAGTCGCACACAACCCACATAGAAAGGTAAGGTGTTTTTTAGGTGTTTATTATCTATGTTTGTATGGGAGATATGGGGTAGTTGTCATTTTTTTAATTTTGGCAAGTATTTCCCAGTGTGGGTTTTTGTAAAAAAAAAAAAAACTTTTTGAAAAGATGTCACACATCAAGTTAAATATGGAACCTCCCTTTTAAGCAAAATTTAGACAATAAAACACACAATATATATAATATATATAAGCATAATAATTGTGCCAGCCTCCTCATTTGATAGCTAGCCCTAATTTCTTATTCATTCTATCCTCTATTATTTTTTGTTGTTCATGATTCTTGCCTACTTAATCATGTTTCTTTATTCTGCTATTGTTTGCAGCTAGTTTCTAATAGTTTTTATATTTTAATAGGGTTTAATAAAAAGTTAACTGATTTTGCATTGACTTTTTGCCTTAAGTCTGCTAAAATGCTTTGCTGAAATACACTGCCATCTGCTGGTGTGAAGGCCAATAAACATTATTATTTACTTTCCTTTATTTTCAGAGGGTCTCACGCCTCAGGTCAAGGAGTCCTCTGAAGAGAACTCAAAACTGCTTTTTTGGGGTGGAGACCTGGGCTGAGCTGGTCTGGGAGGGCTGGGAGCCAGGACGAGAGTATACCAAATCATTGTTCCTTAGAAGCATTCATGGAAAACTCCAGAAACTCACCTTCAGGTCAGTCCACTTAAAACAATATCTCATTAAGACCAAAAGTAACTTTTTCCAGAATTCGAAGCTTAGTTTGTGGTCCGTAAGATTTTTTAGTGGTTTTAAAGTCTCTTAAGTTCACCAAGGTAAAAGCAATAAAAGCAGTAATATTGTGAAATACTATTCAAGTTTAAAATAACTGTTTTCTATTTGAGTATATTTTAAAATGTAATTTATTTATTTTCACCGACCATTACTTCAGTCTTCAGTGTCACATGATCGTTCAGAAATCATTCTAATATGCTGATTTGGTGCTTTAAAAACATTCTGTTATTATTATCAGAGTGTTGAAATGGTTGTGCTGCTTAATATTTTTGTGGAAACTGTGATACATGTTTTTAATGTTTTTTTTTTTTGATGAATAGAAAGATAAAAACAGCATTTATTTGAAATATACTGTAAATCTTTAGTAACATCACAAATGTCTTTATTGTCACTTTTGATCAATTTAAGGCTTCCCTTCTTAATCAAAGTATTCTTTTTTTTTTATCTTTCTGACCCAAAACTTTCAAACAGTAGTGTTCAAACTGATATATTTGTTGTATTTTGTCCATTTCAGACCTCCTGCTTCCAAGTTCTTCAGCACACCATTTCCTCAGACCATTCTTCTGAGCCCAGGAACTTCTTACTCACTCCCAGTTACTTTTCAGCCTCTTGAGAATGTAAAGTTTAAATTACCTTTGTTTCTCATCTAATATATTATCTTAAACTTGTTATATCATTGAAGCATTCAATAATCCTATGATTATGATGTATTATGATGCATTTTATAATGAACATTTACAGCAAGTAATGAGAGATATTAAATGCATGACTAGATTTGCATATATTCTTCTTTCTTGCCCTTCTCTTTCCAGTGTGAGTACGCGGACACTATAGAGTTCCAGGGTAAGGAAGGCACATTCCACGTGTCTCTGCGAGCTGTGATTCCTCATCATGCCCTAGAGGTACCAGACACGGTGATGCTGCTACCCTGTGCTGCCCAGCACAGCTCCCAAACCAGCTTCCTCTTTCGTAATTCCAGGTAAAGCATGGCTAAAAATAATCTGAGTTATGGAGAAACTGCAAAGAAAGTGCTGAATTTTGAAACCTGTGAATGCACGTTTTTTTTCCAGTAAGCTGCAGACAGGATTCAGGTGGTTTGTGGATCCTCCGTTCCAGCTGTCCCCTGAGACTGGACAGTTAAAGCCTGGAGAAGAATGCAGGGTTACAGTAGAGTTGAAACCCCAGCAGGCTCTAGTGTATCAGGCTGAGGCCTGCTGTGCTTTTGGAGATGATGGGGAAAGCAGCTGTACTGTGCTTCTGCATGGGCTGTGTGAGTACACCGAGCTTTGCAGAATTTCAGAAAGCACATTTGTGACCCTGGACCACAAAACCAGTCATAATAGTCCATTAAAAAAGCTGAATGAATAAGCTTTCCATTGATGTATGGTTTGTTAGGATAGGACAATATTTGGCTGAGATAAAACTATTTGAAAATCTGTAATCTGAGGTTGCAAAAAATCTAAATATTGAGTAAATCGCCTTTAAAGTTGTCCAAATGAAGTTCTTAGCAATGCATATTACTAATCCAAAAATAAGGTTTGATATATTTACGGTTGGAAATTTACAAAATATCTTCATGGAACATGATCTTTATTTAATATCCTAATGATTTTTGGCATAAAAGAAAAATCGATCATTTTGACCCATACAATGTATTGTTGGCTATTGTTACAAATATACCCCAGCGACTTAAACTGGTTTTGTGGTCCAGGGTCACATTTAGTATATTCTGGTCTTTTTTAACATTTTAATGTAATAAAATCATTCATTTTATTACATAGAGAAATAAATATATAACAATTCTGTATAAACCTTTAAAGACAGATGTACCATGAGCTCCGCATTTGTTAATCTATGGTACAGTATATTTTGAAGCCATCAGCGGCATTATTTATTAAAACAATAAAAAATATAAATCTATAAAACTAAATATAAATATAAAACATTACAAATATTTTGTACAACATATAGTTTTTTGTGTATGCATATATTATATTTGTTGTTTATATTTATAAATTTATTTATATAGCTTACATATAAATATATATCATAGTTCATTGACATATGATATATATCAAAGTTCATTTTTCCTGATTTTCAAATACGTTTTCTCAAATCATAGTTTTCAATGCTGTGATTTATATCAGACATTGGTTTGGTTCATGGCTTAGAAATGACTCACATCACATTTAAATACCTTTCCACAGCCAAGTACCCTCACCTCCAGATCAGCTCCATGGGGCAGGAGGAAGGCTGCAAGGTGCTTGAGTTTGGCAGTGTGGCAGTAGGAGACTCTCTTGAAAGGCACTTTGAGATCTACAACCTCTCCACTGTATGTTTCCCTCCACCCTGCTTTTTTTCTCATCGAATATTTAGACATCAGATATTTCGCTGTAAAATTTACTCTCTTTCTCTCTTAGGTTAGCACAACATTCAGTCTGACCTGGTTGAGACGTCCCGCTCTCATGGAGTCTGTGTTCTGCTGTGAGGTGCATGAGGGGAAGATCGCTCCAAATTCAGTGTTGAAAGTCCCTGTCTGCTTCTCCCCACTCACAGTGGACAGCATAAGTGTCGACTACCTCTCTCTTACCTGTCCTGGGGCTGTAAGCAAAGACCTGCTCAAAATGTCAGGCACCTGCATAGGTACAATATATAACCCTACAGTAACAGCTTTCCAAACATTTGCTTATAAACATATCAAACCTGGTCTGACCGTCCTTATCTGTCCACTATAGGTCCAATAGTGTCTCTAAATACCTCTGTACTGGATTTTGGCTGTGTTGAGGAGGGCACAGAGGTCACACACAATGTACAGATCATCAACTCCTCTGCAGTATTGGCTCATTACCAGTTTGATGTGGACACTGGCAGCCATAGTGTGTTCAGCATTGATAAGCCTTGTGGCTCTCTGCCAGGCAGCAGCAAACTCACTCTGCATGTGAAATTCCGCCCATATCAACCTATAGCTTATCACAAGACAGTGACCTGTTTACTGCTGCACAGGGTAGTCTGTCTATCTGTCTGTCTGTCTGTCTGTTTGTTGGCTTCTTGGAATATCTACTTTCTTATCTTGTTTTCATTTGATTGATAGTGCCGTTCTGCTTTTCTCATCAAAGGAGCCACTGTTTCTGGATCTGATTGGCACCTGTCACTCCGAGCAGTTGAAGCCAGCCGTTTTAACCCCCAGACACTTGAGTATCTACAGAATGAATCTGCTACGAGGGCTCACCTGTTATCCTCCTGACATACTGAGTTCCTTGCTGGACGAACACAAATTAAAACTGGATGATAGCGGAGCATTGCTAATCCAGGAGGTGTGTATTTGTCCATCTAGATGGTAAAGCGCGTCCTGTGGTCTCTTTGACGTGATCGACCCAGGTTCGAATCTGCCTTTAACCTCGGGCCGATCGCGCGCCTCATCCAGACTGTAATTCAGGGCAAACGTCATATAGTGTATTCCAGCCTTGAAGTAAATTGATTTGCTGACCTCCAGCAGTCACAGTCAGTCAGTCTGTAAATGGGACATAAAGTGAAGATGAGTTCTGAGCATGAATGTTTAGTGTGACAATAGACCTATTATTTGAATTTGGTTTTTGTCATCCCCAGGTTCTGAGGGATCATAGAAATGTGGAGGATCGGACTTTGTGCCCACCCTGGTGCCTTACAGTCAGGGTGAGCAGTCACTCGTTTCAGCCTGGAAAAGAGCACTTCATCCCCAACTTCTCTCTTCAACACCCTAAAGTAGTGAGTCTGACATCTTTCATCATAATATGTTATCATTGGAAAAATACTGTATGTAAGTATACTTGTAAGGTTTTGACACAATCCATCTCCCATCAGGTATTCCCAGCACTGAGACAAGTTGCATACCGCAGTATTCTCCTGCAGAATACAGGGGACCTGCCCTTGATCTTCAGACTAGACCCAGAAGAATGTCCATCTGTATGCGTGCTGCCACCCAGTGGTCTGGTGCCATCAGGCAGCCACCAGATCCTCACATTCAGATGCACTCCATCACCGGATCACCCTGCCAGTATCCCTTTGACATTACATCTGAATGCCAGCCCCAAACACACACAGGTCAACACAATGTCCTACATGGCAGTAAGATTGTGATTTGCCACACTGAGTGATTGCAGGTCCTGATGATTGATGGAACGTCATGAGCAACAGAGAAACATGTCCAGTTGACTAGAATAGTCTAGATAGAATAATAAAATTTTTACATTTGTACAGAATCATTCTGTGATGTTTCAGCAGATCATTTGCCAAATGTAAGTTTCTAAATAGTAGTTTTAAAGGCATTGAATAACATGCCTAAAGAAGTAAAATACAAATACTTTGTTACAATACTTAAGTACAGTTTGTGGAAATTCGTAAGTTTCTAAATAGTAGTTTTAAAGGCATTGAATAACATGCCTAAAGAGGTGTATAGTAGCAAAATACAAATACTTTGTTACAATACTTAAGTACAGTTTGTGGAAATTGTTTTCTTTAATATGAATATTTTTGTTGAATTATTTTGTTGAGTTATTGAGTTTATGACTGTATGGACACAGCCACATTAGGCATCATTGTCAGATTTTATTTAATTAATTGGGAAATACATTTTTAAATATAAAAATTAATAATTCAATATTAAAACATAAAGTGATGTAACAAGAACAAACATGATCTAACAATGATCTAACAAAAGTATATTTATTCATTAACCAAGATTAACAAGAGACCCCAATGTTCTGCTGAAGGACTCTTTAGAAGAATTTATGAAGTTAAACTGTACTTTTGATACTAAAAGTAGTTTTAATGTCAATTACTTTTACTTAAGTATTTTTCTGATGAGCTACTTAAACTGTACTTGAATCAATTTCCATAAAGTTATCTATACTTTTACTAAAGTGTGACACTGCCTGTCTGGAAATCTGATTAAAACTAGGAATTATTTAATCTTTTGTAGGTACTGAATGTCGCTGTAGCAGAGAAGCTTTCCATGAGTGTGGAGGGGGATGGCAGTCTGTTCTTTCAGCCCACAGCCATGGGCTCCTGCTCTGAGAGAACCCTGCGGGTGAAGAACCTGAGCACAGTGCCAGTGGAGTTCAAGTGGAGGCTGTGTGGATCTGACCAAAGGGTTCTGACTGTTCTGCCGGACACAGACACGCTCCAGCCCAATGAATCGAAGGTAAGGCTGCAACGTGATTGTGGTATTTTGGAGAATTGTAGTTTCAGTCTTATTAATGAAAGTATTTTTTTGCTTTCAGGTACAGAAGTGGTCCTTTGCCCCTATAGAGGAGATGATGTACAGCATGAAGCCTAGTCTCACGTTCTGGCCTGTCCAAACGCCACAATGCAAGAAGTCCAGGCTTACCATTAAAGCTCTTGGATTGGCATCCAAAGGGTCTCTCCAGGTGTGCTACCTGAATGGAATAAAGAAATAATCTAATCATATGTACAATGGAGTGCATATTATATACCTTGCATTGGGATGAGTTGGTTGTGTACACTTTCCTGTAATTTCTATATAAAAAAGTGACATTGTGTCATAACTAGTTGTAATTTTCTTTTTTTTTTTCATAGGCAGAGCATCCTGTTATAGATCTTGGTGAGGTTCTGGTGGGAAGCTGTAAGTCATTTGATGTCCCTCTACTGAACGACAGCCCCTGTGCTGTCAGCTACTCTCTGACCACAAAGCAGAACGTCACAGTTACAGGCCTCCCTGAAGATATGACTCAAGATCCTTTGGGTTGGAGACATTGTCAATTCACTATTCTTAGAAATGTTTTTACTACCATTGCCAGGACTCTGTGTCTCACTTTAAATGCTTCACTGTCTATATTCAGGCATATGCAAATTATGTACACTGCCATTCAAAATGATGCTTTATTTAGCAAGGATGCATTACATTGATCAAAAGTGACACTTAGGACTTTTACCCCCGGTTTCACAGACAAGGCTTAAGCCTAGTCCCAGACTAAAGTGTTAGTCTGAACTGTTTTAGCTGAAAGAAACTTGCACTGACTGATCTTCAAATATATCAGTGCCTCTGTTTTGTCTCAAAATGCACACCAGTAATGCTTTTTTCTAAGGCACTTTAAGGAAAGGAAACGAAAGGAGGTGACTTGTGGCCAAGTATGGTGACCCATACTCGGAATTTGTGATCTGCATTGTACCTATCCAGTTGCACACACACATCAGTGAGTAGTGAAACACACACACATTCACACCCGGAGCAGTGGGCAGCCAATGTAGCAAGGATGCATTACATTGATCAAAAGTGACACTTAGGACTTTTACCCCCGGTTTCACAGACAAGGCTTAAGCCTAGTCCCAGACTAAAGTGTTAGTCTGAACTGTTTTAGCTGAAAGAAACTTGCACTGACTGATCTTCAAATATATCAGTGCCTCTGTTTTGTCTCAAAATGCACACCAGTAATGCTTTTTTCTAAGGCACTTTAAGGAAAGGAAACGAAAGGAGGTGACTTGTGGCCAAGTATGGTGACCCATACTCGGAATTTGTGATCTGCATTTTACCTATCCAGTTGCACACACACATCAGTGAGTAGTGAAACACACACACACTCACACCCGGAGCAGTGGGCAGCCAATGCTGCGGCGTCCGGGGAGCATTTGGTGGTTCGGTGCCTTGCTCAAGGGTCTCACCTGACCTCAGTCTTGGTATTGAGGGTGGAGAGAGCGCTGGACATTCACTCACACCACCTACAATCACTGCCGGACCTGAGACTCGAACCCGCAACCTTTGGGTTACAAGCCCGACCATTTGGCCACGACTGCCCTAAAATAATAAAAATGACAATAAAAATGACTTAATTGTCCTAATTGAACTATTGCCTTGTCCTGGCTTAGTCTAAGCCCTGTCTGTGAAACCAGGCCTTAGAATGTTACAAAAAAATAGATTTTAAATAAATGCTATCAGAGATTCCTGAAAAAAAAAATCCAGAAAAATATTAAGCAGCACAACTCTTTTCAGCATTGATAATAAAAAGAAATGTTTGCTATCACAGAAATAAATTACAGTTTAAAACATATTCAAATAGAAAAGAGTTATTTTACATTTGAATTTTTCCACAATATTACTGTTTTTACTTCTTACCGACCCCAAAAATTTGAATGGTAGTGTAGTTGTTTTATGTTATACCTATGATAGCTGTCTAGTCAGTCTTTATTATTTATTTGTTTTTTAATTAAGCTTTACTTTTTCAGTTCTGGAGATGGAGAATGTAAGTGGAACCATACCTGCTGACTGCAGGCTACCGATCCGCTGCACAGTGAAACCGGCACGCAGGGCCCATTACTGCTGGACCATCAGTTACCACATCCTCAATGCTTCTGGTAGCGTACAAAGAAAACAGTGCTGTTTATGCTTTGAACTGTGATTCTAGTGTTTACATGGCATTAGACCATAGTGCAACACCTTACCTGCTGCAACGTTCCAGCACCATTAGCCACCACTAACCAGAATAAACCAACCTGCACCAGCATGGAAACACATGCTGGTATTTTCAATTGGGTTATTAAGACAATATCACGTTTTGCATATTTGAGAAAATTGCTATGAGTAAATTTTACAATATAAAAAGCTTTTTCTGGCGACCAGGCTATGGGGGAGGAGAGCCGCAATCTGTTTGCCATGTACAGGCCGAGGGAGTGTACCCCACCCTGGAGGTGATGGATGCCCGTAGCTGTGGCAGTGTGGAGGGACTTAGTAAACTGCAGCTCTGGCGCCTCTTCAATCTGGATGCACTCAACACTTATCTACGCAGAGATCCCAGCCCATCTGAGCTCACCTTCAGGGTGCCTACTAGACACAGGCAATACTTTTTGTAATAAATTCATAGATTTCTTTCTACCCCAATTTCTTTTGATAACTATTAAAACCTTCTGCAGTTTTCAACGTTGCCCTTCCATCTTCACCTCAGCCATGTTGGATTTTAGCTTCAGTGCTGCTCCCCTAGGCTCAGACCCCTCCAGTATTCTGCTTTTGTTTAAGAACCCAGGAAGTATTCTTGTAGAGTGGTGAGCATTCATAACTTGATCTGCCTATATGTTATGGTAGCAAATAAAGTCACACAGTATGAAGAAAGGATCAAAATGGTCTCCCTCAGGTCATTCTTGCTTCCAGAGGACCAGCAGATTGAGCTGGAGTACTGGGCTGAGTCTGGAGATTTCAGTCCATCTGAGCTCCACCTGATGAAGATTCAGGACCACAGGCTCTTCTCCGTCTCCCCACGCTCTGGTAAACTCCTGCCCGGCCAACAGAGGACAGTACAATTCACATACAGGTCAGGAATGAGCACAATAGTGCTTTTACACTGAAGTGTTGTTTAGTGAGGCACAGAAAACTATAAGGCATATGCTTCTCTCCCAGACATGACTTTGTGGGGACAGATCGTCTTCCTGTCTTGTTGAAACTTTCACATGGAAGAGAAATACTGGTGAGGCAAATTATTCTTGTCATTGCAGCACATGCATGCAATGATTCATGCTGACAAATCTTGATTATTTTTTAAATTTTTCCAGATGAATTTTATAGGAGTAACTGTGGAAAGAGACAGACGCTACATGTACCTCTCCTCCAACCGGCACATCTTTTCCCCGGTGGCAATTGGAAGGTTCAGTCCCCCCAAACAGGTTTGTAGGCCTATTACCTGAACTGAGGTTTCCCCTGAAAGCTGTTTTTATAAGCTGTTTAGTTTATATAATAGACCTTTTATTTTTATTATAGACTCTTAAATATAAGGGGTATATTATATTATATTATGAGACCTTCGAAAAGGTCACTGACAGTACTTTTGCGAATGAATACTTTCGCAAGGCACTGTATATATATATACAGTACCTTGCGAAAGTATTCATACCCTTAAATTTTTTGTCGGTTTTGTTATGTTGCTGCCTTATGTTAAACAGTTTTAAATTACTTTTTTCCCACATCAATCTACACTCCATACACCATAATGGCAAAGCAAAAAACAGGTTTTTAACATCTTTGCAAATTTATTAAAAATAAAAAACTTAAATGATTCCATTACATAAGTATTCATGTATCTGGGACAGTTGAAATTTAGCTCAGGAGCATTCATATTGCTTGTAGATGTTACTACACTTCGAGTTAACCTGTGGCAAATTCAGTTGAATGGGTATGATTTGGAAAGGCACACATGTCTTAAAGTGTCTAACAGCTGATAATGCAAATTCAGAACAAAAACCAAGCCCTGAGGTCAAAAGAACTGCCTGTAGAGCTCAGAGACAGGTTTGCGTCAAGCTACTCATCTTGGGAAGAGTTCAGAAAAAAATTCAGCTTCATTGAAGGGTCACAGTAGCATGTAGTTAATGGAAGAAGTTTGAAACTACCAGGACTCTTCCTAGAGCTGGCCTCCTGGCCAAACTGAGCAAGCTCCATGCTCATATGTGGAGAAATCTACAGAAGGACAAACATCACTGCAACACTCCACCAATATGGGCTTTATGGCGATGTGGCAAGACTCAATCCTCTCTTCAGTTCAGACATGAAAACACACTTGGAATTTGCAAAAAAGCCTAAAGGACCCTCAGACTGTGAGAAACAAGATTCTCTGGTCTGATGAACCTCAATTCTAAGCATCATGTTTGAAGGAAACCAGCTCTGCTCATCACCTGCAGAGTACCATCCCAAAAGTAAAGTGTGGTGGTAGCAGCTTCATGCTGTGGGACTGTTTTTCAGTGGCAGGGACTAAGGGGCTCGTCAGAGTAGAAGAAAAGCTCAGTGCACCAAAATATTGAGATAGCTTTAATGAAAACCAAGTCCAGAGCATTCAGAACCTCAGATTGGGCAGAAGGTTCACCTTCCAACAGGACAATGACCCTAAGCACACAGCAAGAGTGGCTTATAGACAACTCTGTGAGTGTCCTTGAGTGGCCCAGCCAGAGCCTGGACTTGAACCCAATCAAATATTTCTGAAAATGTGCATCTGCCCCCATCCAACCTGACAGAGCTTGAGAGGTGAAGAGGTGAGGAGAAGAATGGCAGATGATTGCCAAATGCTGATGAGCAAAGCTTGTCGCATCAAACAAAAAAGACTTGAGCACTCAGGGTTCAGTCCTTCCCCAGTTTGAAGCTGAACAAAATGTTTCCCATCGGACCCAAATAAATTAAACTTGCTTTCATCAAGTGAACTATGGACCAGTTCTCCTCTCTACACACAACATGCTCCTCAGCAAAGGTCAGTCTAGCCTTTTGATTCTTTCTGCTGATGAAAGGTTTGGTCACTGCAGAGTGCGCTTTCAGTCCAACTTCTCTTAAAGGGGTCAACACATTTCATTACACCAAATACACAAAATAATGTTATTTTTTAGCAACGTCATATGACCCCTTTAAATGTGCAGAGACTGATCCTAACCCTGATCAGCGTTGAACTGGCGAGTAATTCCAGCTGCAGTGTTGACCGATTTCCCATTGAGATTCTCTACATTATCCTGTCCTCTCGTGCATTTGTCTTTTCGTGGACGGCCAGCCTTTTTGGGGGACTTGAGTCCAATCAGAGTTCTTTTTCAAATATCTCATTTAAGTTTTTTTTATACTGTGCTTCAGAATATAACTCATGAAATATGTCCCCAAATGGTGTAGTTACAGTTCCTACCAGAAGTGGCCAAAAAGGTCATGCTAACCAACCAAAGGTGACCTAAAATGATTTAAAATAAGACAAAACGAGTATTAAAATAAACTAAAACATCTACAAATCAGGAAATTATCAGTAAAAATAATTTTAAAAATCGTTATCCTTAATCAGGTAAATCACAGACAACTGGAAAAATCATGCAGATGTATTACTTAGAAAGAATGGGATCCCTGAAGAACATTCAGAATTTAAAACTTCTGAATTTAGTGTACAGAAACTTGAAGTGTTCATAGATTATTGTTGTGCACAGTAGGGGCCTTGGAGTCAAAAAGGTTGAGAACCATACAGGATAAAATGCCTTAAAAATAATTGTATTAATTGTTTTTTTATTGGCAGGTCCTTACAGTCATCTACTAGATATCATGTGTTTATTTTGAATAGTCACAGATGTGCTAAATGCTTAATCTGCACAGGTGTTTGAGTTGTATAATGCTGGTGCTCTTCCGCTGAGATACCACATCGACACCACTCCACTGGAGGAGCTGATGGAGGAGAACTTTAGTCACCCAGTCTTACAGTGTCTGAACCCTGGAGGAGAAGTGGAACCAGGCCACACCGCCCTGGTGGAGTGGATCTTCTCCCCACTGGAGGCTAAAACATACAGTGTTAGTTACTCCACAATAACATCCACTTAAAAAAAAATGTCCCTGCTACCAAAAACATTTCACATAGTAACACTTGTTTTTGTCTGAAAAGAAATTACTGTCTACATTAATATGCAAACCATTAAGTGTTTTATACAGAGTTTGGTGTACAATTCCAGGTGGACGTACTTCTACACGTGGTGGAGGGGGACAGCATGTTTGTAACCTTTGAGGGCCAAGGCTTTGATGAAAGAGAGGCAGAACCCATTCAGATACAAGATGGGCGTATTGCTGTGCCTTGCACTCAAAGAATCCCAATACCTGAACAAGTAAGAACGTGCTTGATGAAACAAGCCATGTATAAGTGTTCCACATGAAATGGAAGCCAAAATTTTCCATCTCTTTCTTTGTGAATAGGTGGTGTTCCTGTCAGAAGAGAGAGTGTGTTTTGGTGATATCCCAGTGGGCTCTTGTAGTACACGCATCCTTTTTTTGACCAATGTCTCACACACAGACCAAGTGTTGTATAAATGGAATGGAACAAGCACAGAATGCCAACAGGTATGTAGATTATAGTGCAAAAGTCATATGGGCCACTTTTATGGTGCTTTCATGAAGTTTTTTTGAAGCTTGACAGAAGTGAAATGTCACTGGAACCATAAACTGTCATTATGTGCAAAAGAACGGCATGATTTTTCAGACTTTTTTTATTTTGTGTGCCACAGAAAAATATCAGCATAAGGGTTTGGAACAAACTGATACCATGTATAATTGATCAGATAACATGGCCAGTCTACTCAGTATATTGATTATTGACCGCATGTTTTCATATGTTTGTCACACTGAGCGTAGACTGTAAATATCCATCCTGAGAGTGGTCGTCTGGCACCAGAGGAGAGTGTTCCCTGCATCCTGACAATAAAAGACTCGGGTAGCCCCACTTTCTATCAGCAAGACCTCATCTGTGAGGTGACAAATACAAAGATGCACCAATGAACACGTGCACATAGAAACACATAGTTTTCTATTTGAATATATTATAAAATGTAATGTATTCCTGTGATGGTAAAGCTGAATTTTCAGCAGCTGTCACATGATCCTTCAGAAATCATTCTAATATGCTGATTTGGTGTTGATTTAAGAAACATGTATTATGATCAATGTTGAACACTGTTGTGCTGCTTAATATTTTTGTGGAAACAATGGTACATTTTTTTCCAGAATACACCGACTAGAAAGTTCAAAAGAACAGTATTTATTTGAAATTGAAATATTGGAAACACACCTAAATGGTTGACGCTGTCTTTGTTAGATAACTCTTGTAAAGAAGCTTGCACAGTATCACAAAGACCTTCGACAGTGGGAGGAAGAGACAGAAAGACAGAAATATGAGTTTACTATCACTGAGAAAGACCTGATACAGACAAACCAACTGGATAAATGCTCTCAGGTCAGAAAGATACATTTTAGACTTTAACGTTGACAATTATCCTTTCACATTTTATTCACTGTATTAAAACATAATAAAAAAAAAACGAATTGCCTTCCTCAGGAAGGTGCAGTGTTTGAACAGAAAACTGGCACAAGAAAATACAAGGTAACTACACCCGAAAAATGACAAATTAGTCTTATTTACAAGTTATAATGTAACACATTCAGTCAGCTGAAGCAGTGTTTATGTGTACATTATATTTATAAGTGAGAGACCAATATTTTGTTCCTCATGTGGTAGACTCTTCCACCCATTCGTAGCAGTGAACAAGCTGAAAGCAGTTCCTCAGTGAGACCCAGTCGGGCTGAACAGCGGGCTCAGCAGCAGACAGGCCAGGAAAGGAGAAGACGTCCCGAACCTCCTCGTCCTGCAATACTGCACTTAGGTGTCACTGCACGCTCTCACAGCCTCATGGATTACCAGACACATTTCCCCACTCAGTTCAACACTCATTACATCAACAGGTACAACTGGGTGCAAAACTTTTTTTAAGGATTCAAAATGAATAACAAGTCTGACATGATGATGGTTATTTTAATCATTATATTTCTTTCAGGTCTAGGCAACCCAAGCTTTTTCAATCTGGGACAGGTGAGAGCTGCCATTGTCCTGCAGACCTGCCCCCACTTACTCTGGGTCCTGAGAGAGATGTCATCACACACGTGCTCACCTCTTTACTACAGTATGACTTACATTGTTTTATTAATACAATTCTGTTCAAAAGTTTGGGGTCAGTAATTGTTTTGTTTGTTTCTTTGTTTTAAATTAATACTTTCATTGAGAAAGATGCATTAACTTTTGATGCATTGATCAAAAGTGACAGTAAAGATATTTATAATGTTACAGAAGATTGTATTTCAAATAAACACTGAAAGATTCCTGAAAGAACCATGAAAAAAAGCATGTTTTCCACAAAAATATTAAGCTGCAAAACTGTTCTCAACACTAATAATTAATCAGCATATTAGAATGATTTCGTATCATGTGACACTGAAGACTGGAGTAATGATGCTGAAAATTCAGTTTTGCTATCACAGGAATAAATTACGTTTTAAAATATATTAAAAGGATTTCAAATTGTAATAATATTTCACAATATTGCCATTTGTACTATATTTTTGGTCAAGTAAATGCAGTCTAAGAGACTTCTTTGAGAAACATAACTTCTAAATGGTCGCATATGTTTTGGCAGCTCTTCTGACTTATTCTGTCCTATTATTTATTTATTCTGTCTATAAATAAAGGTGACTTGACTTATTAAATGGAACAACTATCATTCAGTAGGAGGTCACACTGGTTTTTTATTATGTGTTCTCCTACAGGAGTCTCCTAGATGAGCCTCAGTTCCAGCAGTCTCTGGTAGAGGGCGACAATGAGCAGGTGCCATACTTCACACAGCTGCGGCCTGCTCCTGCGCTCCCCACACAAACACAACCCCGTTCTGCTACAGGCAACCAGAGTCCTGTAGAAATGTCCAGTGTGTCCAGTGTCAGTCCAGCAGAGACTTACACAGGAAACTGTAGCACTGCAGACAGACCCAAGAGTGAGTGTGTCCAGGAGTCTCTGAAAGAAGTCCAGGAGGAGATAAAAATTAAGGTCCAGGAGTCTATTCGCAGGTGTGCTATGACACTAGAAAGAGACAATTTAGTCACAAATCAAATGTTGCCATTTAAACAACTTATCTTCATTCTCTCTCATTCTTTTCTGCAGGTTTCCTGAGTTTAGTGACCTAGTGGAGGACATTTTGCACAATACCTTGCAGAACCTAATGATGGAGGCTTTCTTGGGTGAGCTGGTGCTGACGACACGACCACGAATCATCGCTCTTCCACCTTCATCTTCCAGGTCACATCTACCTTTTATGTTAACCTCACTCTATCTGTATTAGTTGTTTTTTTTACATGAATTTTTTAATAAGAAATGAACCCAAGTGGCATTGACTCTTCTTGTCTGATTAGCTGAAGTGGTATTAGCCAAGACTTTACTTTCTCATTTTATGTATGTGTAGGAAAAACAGCCTTGGCTCCAACAGACAGTCCAGGGCCGAATCGAATAACAACAGGGAGCAGATGCGCCCCCTAGTGACCAGCCCAAGCCCCTACATGTCTACTCAAGCCATAGTCTCAAACCTGGAGCCTGAGCAGCAATGAGCCATTCTGCACTAGTAACTTAACACTCAGTATCTGTATGACATGTTTGAGACTGATTCGTATTAAACCGTTTTTAAAAATGACACAACTTGGTGTAAATTCTCTGAATCTGTCCAATCACCAACAGCTGGATCTTCCAGGCGCTGACGCAAAACACATTGTTTTGGTTCTAAAAGGTTCTGTGGAATGTTAAACGTCTGATAGTTCTTTGAATTGTGAAGCAATTTAGTTAGAAAGAAAGTTCCCAGATGTGGGTCACATGAAGTACAGTAGCCATTTAAAATAAGGCAGCTCCAGATGTAGTGTTTCTGTTTTATTTGTGATGACTGTCTTGACTTTGGTTAGTCCCAAGGGCATTTAAACAGTGCAGTCACATGGCCAGAGTCACTCATTATCAAGTTAAGGACACCGCCTGTGAAAAATAACTTTGGCAGCACAAATTTCTGTCCTAGTGCATGGAGGATGTTGGCTCTACTATAAGGAACAATAATAATAACTATGAGTATGATGTACTGAATTTTAGCTCATTTTAAGGGAAAAACTCCATCTCCATTTGTTGCTCTAAATGGGTGTCTTTTTTTCTGGCTGCTGTCCTATTCATGAAACTACTGAGGAGAAAGATTGTATATTAAGGTAAGCGACAACATTTTTTCTTGTATAGATTATATATATAAAGACAATTGTATTATGAAAAAAGATAATAAATAACAATATTACTAGTCTAAAGCAGGGGTGGCGAACGTCGGTCCTGGAGAGCCGCAGCCCTGCAGAGTTTTGGTTCAACCCTAATCAAACACACCTGAACAAGCTAGTCAAGGTCTGAAGCGTTACAGGAAGCTACAGGCAGGTGAGTTTTAATTAGGATTTGAGTTGAACTCTGCAGGGCTGTGGCTTTCCAGGACCAGAGTTCGCCGCTCCTGGTCTAAAGTTTAAATAATAAAGTCTCTAAATACAGTGTTGCCTCCGCAAGGTTCAGTATGTCCAGTGGCAGTGAGACAGCCGTGGCTCGTGAGCTGCAGGACAGCAGATCTGGACCTGAGAAGGAGGGGAGGACCTGGAGCAGTACTCAAACCTCCATCTCCACTACTGAGGGGGAATCAGATGCTGAATTACATGCATTCATCAAGATGAGGAACAAAGTGGACAAAGATACTGAGGTGAAGAACAAATACACATGCACTCTGAGATACAAGCAAGGACTGCGAAAACGAATACAGAACTAAGCAAGTGAATATATTTTACAACAGCTATTTAAGTTAATTCTTAATTATCCAGACAGGAGTCGTCTCTACCCACGATACACAGCTACCATACACATCAGTCTAGCGTGTTTTCATAGAAAAACAATGGAAAAGTACCGCATTGGAATGGAAAATTGTGTTCTGTGTGACCCTTATGCAGTTATGCCTGAACCAACACAAAATCCATAAGTTCTTCCATACCTTCTGCTCTCTGCTTTAGAGCAGATGTGACTTTGACTGACTTTTTTGTATTGGATTTTGGCTACGAGTAAATACGTCGGAATTTAGGCCGATGTAATTTGCCAATTTTCTTAAATTGAATTCAGCGGAACTGTACCAGAAAGACAAGTGATGAACGGTTCATTTCAGACACAACCCTAAGGTGAGGTGAGGACACCGATCTGGTGCATCACATTTGAATCATTTTAACTGTAAACCACAGTCACATGATCAGAGCAGAAATTCTTGCTCAGTATTAATCTTTGGTCCTGTTTGTTTAAATAAAATGCAATGCATGTTATTCTAACAACCTTATCTTGTTGATGTTTCCTGTATGTCAGTGTCCACTTCATACAGTAGCTTTAACTTTTCTCATGTTTGTCAGGCTGTGGACAGCTGGAAGAGCACATGGACTATAATGCACTTACGAACTTGTTAGAGTCAATCGACGGTAACCCAATAGTGATGTTCTGCCACGCAACCTATGCCTCCATCCACAAAGCTCTTCAAAGCTTTCTTTCTTTCTTGCTCTTTGACCACACTTCCACTGTTTGTGTGTCTGTGTACTTGTTTATGCTGCGGTCCCCACGAGGGAAATTAAAAAAAAAAAATAGTAAATGATGTTTATCTGAAAGTGTAACAATGCAAACAGGTTTCCGGTAAGGGGTAGGTTTAGGGTTACGGGATAGAAAATATCGTTTGGTCTGTATAAAAGTAATAGAAGTCTATGGAAAGTCCCCACAATTCATAGAAATAAACGTGTGTGTGTGTGTGTGTGTGTGTGTTAGGAATGGGAGAAACTGAACTATGATATCCACACTCTGAGGTGTGCTCGTAAAGATGTTTGTATACGCTGGAAGAAGATCTTGCTTCAGCTGGGTGAGGTGGACTATAACTATTTTTATATTTATTATTTTTATTTTTTTAATTATTGTATAAATGTATTATTTATGTTTATGTTATCGTTGTATGTTTTATTTATATACACTAGCCTATGTTTAAAATATTAAGTCAGGAAGTTTTTTTTTTTTAAAGAAGTGAGTACTTTTATTTAGCAAGGATGCATTAAATTGATCCAGAGTAACAGTAAATACATTTATAATGTTACAAAAGAATAAAAAAAAAAAATCTTTTTATATATCAAAGAATCCTGAAAAATATGTTTCCACAAAAATATTCAGTAGCACAACTAAGAAATTTGTATAAAATTAAATGTTTCTTAAGCAGCAAATCAGCATATTAGAATAATTTCTGAAGGATCATGTGACAGTGATGACTGAAGCTTGACCATCACAATAAAATTACATTTTAAAATATATCAGAATAGAAAAACTTAACTGAACTTGTAAACCAGTCCGAAAACCAGTCAATATCTGGTGTGACCACCATTTGCCTCACGCACTAATCAGCATCTTGGTATGCCACACCTGTGAGGTGGATGGATTGTCTTGGCAAAGGAGAAGTGCTCACTAACACAGATTTAGACAGATTTGTGAACAATATTTGAGAGAAATAGGCCTTTTGTGTACATAGAAAAAGTCTTAGATCTTTGAGTTCAGCTAATGAAAAATGGGGGCAAAAACAAAAGTGTTGCGTTTATAATTTTGTTCAGTGTATATCTGTCTTGCTGAATTTTATTTTTTCTTCCTTTTCCAGCTCTTGTGAGGGCTTACAAGAACAATGCTCATTTTGTCTATAAAAATGTCAATTATGTATGCTTAAATCTACTGTACAATGCAGAATGCCAGTTAACATAATAGTAATAGCATACCAAGTCAAATGTGACCCTTATTTGCCAATCTAATGGCAGTGGAGTGTGAGCATGTCTTTGTGTCTGAGGAAGTGCAGTCATGTCAATGAATATGTTGTTGATCCAGGTTACCAGAAGGAGGCAGACTCCTTACTGACAGTGAACAGACAGACGGTTCTGAGTGACTGGGAGAATGTGGAGAAAGCCAGAGAACTTCTGCGAATAGTGTCAGAGGAGACAGGCCTCTTCCCCCGTGGACTCAGCAACAGTGAAAGATACATCTTTGTCATGGTAAATAAATGTCGGCATCATAAATGACAGTCCTCAGTCCTACAGCCTCGATACTTTACTGTATGTGTACATTAAAGGGACTTATCATGATAAACGTGTAATGTAAAAAGTAGAGTTTTCTACATGATTATATTTTACTTAATCAAGGATGTGCAACTTTTACAAGCAGCTCGGTGGAGCTGAAGGACTTTTGGAATAATGAGCATTTTAATTGTTATGATCATTTCCTAGGATCGACTGGTGTCTCTGGACAGTGCTGAAGACTTTTTGCGGCTGGCCAAAGAGAAATATCCAAGAATTGAGTCTTGAGATGTAAAGGAACTTCTACGTTTGGACTCGTTTGCTCTCTTTGATGCTTCTTCTGCAACTGTTTTTTATCAATAAATTCATTGTTGTTTTGTCCTGAGGAATAGAGACTAATCACATTATCTTCGGAAATTCAGAAAGATATCAGCAAGTAAGAAAAATATGATGTATACATCTAGAACAAGAGTCACTTTTGAAAATACTTCATATTCCCTTAATTCTTCCACTTTTTAACAGTAATCCAGTTTAATTCACTAATTTAAATGTTATTTAGATTCTTTTGTTTCTCTTTTGTAAGTCACTTTGGATAAGTGTCAATGCATAAATGTAAAATGTAAGTGTAAACGGATACAATACACATATTCATTTATTTATTGGTATTCATTATTCAGATTACAGTATACTGTAGTGTCAAAGGGCCTGGCGTGGGAGAGGGGCCCGGAACGCGATTTCTACCGAGGGGGACCCAACGGTGTCCCTGGGTAAGCGCATTAATTGTGGTGTAGACACTCTCTAAATCTCACTAGTATCACTGTTATTTACATAAAACTCAAGAGACTTTTATGCTGGTCCCCGTTGATAGACGGCAGTCTAAACGATTCCGAAATAAGAATTACTGAATGCACTTTTAATAAATAATATAATTTAATCTCAATAATTGAATCTAACTTAACCTACAGGTTTTACTTTATTCTCCGTTAGCCTACTGTTAATGTGAATAGAATATCCCCTTTTGTGATTTTATGTACTTCATCAGATTAGCCAGCAGAGGTCAGTCTAACCTATTTGAAAGTACTGTTTTTTTCCCTCTTAGCAGTTGTCCAGCATGAGCTCACTAAACATTTAAAGACATGACATGCCATGATGAAGATTGTCTACAGTGTATTTCGTAACTCTCTGCTTGATGCCATGCATGTCTGTTTAATATCAGATAATAAGTGAGTGTGGTCATAGTTTCAGCTGTGCACGTTGACCTCTATATTGTTGTCTCCTGGGCCTGACTGAGGGGCCAGAAACAGATGTGGAGCAGAGAAAGAGAGAGAGAGTTTGAGAAAGCAGTGTAAGGAGGAGGAGGGGGCTTTATTATAAATCTTCTGAGTTTTCAAGCTTGGCTCTCTCTTATTGCTGAGGGCCAACAGAAACACCTTGTTCTTATTATATGTGTGTGTGTGTCTGTTCATGTCAGTGTGATAGTCCTGGCTTTGTTGTCACGTCCCTCTAGCAATTGCTGGAAATATTCATCCATGACCAAAGAAAGGACAGGGTCCAACTCTCTACAGTTTACATCATCTCGGGGTCTGTCTATGAAAGATGATTTGCCCCCATTCACCTCGCAGACGGAGGAAAATAGGAGCATTTTATCCTTATGAAGGATATGTGATTGTATTTCATAATGACTATAATTACCGCTTGAGTCCAACTTCATATCAGCTCTACAACTGGGTCAGAGTAGAGTCCTATCATATAGCAGAGTGTCTGTCCTTTTTTCTTTTCTTTCTTCAGTCATTTCCCACTCTTTCATTCACTCTTTATTAACTTTCTTCCCTTTCAACTCCTGCCACCCTTTCTTTAGTGCTTTCTACTTCTCTTTCCACTATCTCCAGCTGTGTTGCTCAAGTTACTACGGCTGTATCTTCAAGTTGCACAAAAAATCTTATACTTTTTCCAGTTGTCTAGATCCTGTTGGATTTAATACATGCCAACAGATAATTATTTTTTTAAATTTGACGTTTTCATTTGTTTTTAATTTCAGTTTCAGTTATTTTAGAAATACAACTTAAAGTGATTTCAGTTAGTTGCCAAGGCAACATTTGTAGTTTTTGTTTTTCTAGTTTTTAGACATTTTAATTTATTATTTATATTTTATTTTTTCAGCTTTATTTTAAATAATGAAAAATTGTTTAAGTCTTGTTAATTTTTGTTTTAGCCAACTCTTTATTACTTTAAGTCTTTATTTTCTATTTGGAAAATGAAAAGAAATTACCAACTGATTTGAAAAAAAAGAAAGGAAAAGGAGAAAAACATTTTTTTGCACATAAAATAAAGAAAAAAATATTTTAAAAGTTTAAAATATTGAACCTTCAATTGAATAGTTAAGTGATGCATTTGTTATGCAGCAACAACCCAGTCTCATTGAAATTATGCTGAATTATTGCAAAAATTAAATAACTTTCAGGCCGAATGCAGTAAGTTTGATTATGTTTCACTTCGTTACTGGTCCTAAAATTAGACTCAACAAAGACAGCCATAATGGAGTGTATGCATCTCTGGCCTTAGATTTTGACATTACCCCGTCCCCGCATCTCACACACCACAGGGCATGGCCTATGTGTGTTATTTGCTGAAGCATGTAACATATACTAACATCAAAACCATGTCTAGTCTCACCGACTAACTCTGGGAAACTTTATTTACTTACAGGAAACCAAAATGTTCCATTACTAACATAGTTTACCACAGTCTCAACACTCCTTATTATGTCCAGTACTAAAAACAGTGCCTGATTGATTTAATGATCATACTGAAACTGAAATACTGAACACTGAAAAATTCTGTCATGTACAGGCAATGGCAAATCTCCCAATTATGGCAGAAGCACCTACAATCAACAGCGAGCAGACAGAGCAGGAACCACTGAGCAGCTGAACCCTAATGAAATGATTTAGTGGGACAATTAAAAGTAATTTCCCCACTATTAGGCCTAATTTTCCATTTTGTATTTAAGTAACTAGTTGCATCAATGTCTAATGATTTGATGATTTTCTTTTTAAAAATGTTAATGAATATGAGCTTCTTTTTCTTCTTGCCAACACTTTGTTTCTTATTTTTTGCACATTAAAGTTTTGTTTTATATTTTAGAATACATACCATATCTTTAATTTCAGGTTTGTGTTGAACATTTACATTGTGGGTTTTAGTGATGCATAGGTAATTCTAAGTTTAAATCTAAACTATTGTTATAATTTTATTACCAATGAAATGTCAGAAAACACAAAAGTAGAGTATGAGGTTCCTCAAGGCTCTGTTTTAGGACCAGTGCTGTTTTCCTGTACATTTGAGCAATTCGTAAAAAAAGAAACCAAGTTTCAAACATCTGTATCTCATCCCTTATGGATAACTGTGCTGTACTAAGACATCATGCCTTTGTGTCCTCATTTGTTTGGTATTTTATAAACATATTACCATAACTGTCTGACAACTTAAACGAATAAAACTCTATACAGATGTGACTAGAGTGTGCAGTGGAGAGAGAGATGCATACTGCCCAGAGCTTACCTTAGGTTGCCGTATATTTGCTCTTTCACTGTATCTACTATTTTCTTTTTCTTTATTTTTTTCATGTTGAATTTGGTTCTAAAGGAGAATAAGAATTTAATATATGATCCTTGCTTCTGCTCTGAGGAGACTATACCATGTTTCCATATTGAGGGAATGCAGCCTGTGGCTTGAAGCCATCAATGATTGGACAATGGCCTCTTATTGGCCAACAGTCCTTCTGAAAGAACAGCACAGCTTCTTTACTGTCCTCCTCGTGAGGCCCCAGCATAGCACAGCTCTCTATTCTCATAAAAGAACAGAAAAAAATTATTTTTGCATCAAAGTGAAAAAAGGAGCATGTAGTCCCAGGCATGTTGGATAACATACTTCTTCAGAAGGCAAAAGGTGAAAGGTCACTGTAGGTAAGTAAAAATGCAGCTTATCACATGTGTAGACTAAGTCGTTCCAAATACAACTTATTTTCCCCAGTCTGCTGTCTTTAATGAACTCTTAATGTCACTTCTATTGTATACTTCTATTGTCTTTGAAATACAGTTAAAGTGTACTTTGTAATGTAGCATTATAATTCAAGCATTCATAGTAACCTAAATATAATTGATTGTAATTTATGTTGAAACTTTTGTAATGCATTTAAATATATTTGTTATTACATATTTATTATGCTTTAAAAGCATAACAAAAATTATTATTAAAATAATGATTTAGTGCTTTAGTGTTTACAACAATTAATTACTTTTTCACACACAGCTTTACATTTGAAGGGTATGATACTTGACAGTAATGCACTCCAATGGCCCAGTCCATTGTCATCGCATAGACATTTGTTTGAAGGTATTTTGTCTGGGGACATAAATCATGTTAAATCTACAATCTGCTTTGCTGTTTCCTTCCTAAACAACACAAGGGTCAGGTCACCAGACTGAGGTAGGATAACCCTAAACTTTAAATCAATCCAGTTGACTCCTGAGCTGTGTCCTTATCTATAGCCTTGCTCTACTCTGCTTTATCTCACAGCGAAACACTCCACAACCTAAACTGACCTCTTTGGCCAAGTTTGCATGCTCACACTACCCCCTCAAGAAACGTTAGACTTATTTGGGTCAGTTGACGTAGTCCACAAATGAAACCCATTATGCGCTGTTCCCGTGAGACGGGACCATATTGAATCTGAAATTTTGCACGTAAGCACACTGGCATTGAGTCGTCCAGTGTTTTTCGTTTCTGATGCTATTCACTGATTTAAACAGTTTGGTTTAAGCAGCTTTGAGGGGTGACACAGTCTCTTTGGAGCGGAGCAGAAATCCAGATGTGCTTGGAGGGTGAAATGTGCAGTTATGTCACAAGCGCTCAGGGGGAGAGAGGTGAGCAGAGAGATTTGTTTAAGAGAGAGGCCCTCTGAATGGAGATAAACATTCAGAAGAGAAAGCTTTACTGCCGTTTGCATTCAGCATGGTATGTGCTTGAGATAAGTGTCAAGTCTGAGTTGTAATGTGTCTGTAGTGACTAATATGTCTGTGGACCCCTAGAAAACCCGTCTTAAAAAGGCAAAGGGTCAGCAGAAAATGTCTGAATTAAAAACAAAAATCACAAAACTGTGGTATTGTAGAGTGCAACAGTGATCTTTATTGTTCCAGTAGTTAAGTAGTACCTTTTGGAAAGGCTTACTTTATTCAGCAAGGATGTATTAAATTGATAAAAAGTGACAGTAAATGCATTTATAATTTTACAGAGGATTTTAATTTCAAATAAATGCTGTTCTTTTGAACTCACTGTTAATCAAATAAATAGAAATGCATCACAAATTCCA